TTGTTGTTGTTGTTATTATTATTATTATTACTATATGTGACCAAAATGACTAAAACCTGCCAAAAATAGTCCAACACTGTCCAAAAGGACTCAACCTGGATCTAAAATGAGACAAAAAATAGTCAGAAATGACAAAAATGTGACAAACAAAATGCTCAAAAATGAAAAAAGACTTTTTAAAAGTGAGTCACAATTTTCCAGAATGTTCCAAATGAATCAACATGTGAACAAATGAGGACAAACGGAACTTTGACAAAATGACCCAAAATCGTGATAAAATAAAACAAAAAGAGAAACCTGACAAACGAGCAGAATGACTCAGATCATGATGTCCAGGTTTCCACAAAGACCCAAATGGACCGACATGAGTGGAAGCTGAGGCCCCAAAGACTCCAGATGGGAAAAGACCTGGACCCGTCCACAGGGACTCGGAAGGACTGAAAATGAGCCGAACTTTGTCCAGAACCTGACGAACAGCTGAGTTCTGGTTCAAACTGACGAGTTTCACAGCAGCTGATCCGCGGGCACGTCATGCGCGTGTCCGTGTGTCCATGTGTGTGAGTGTGTGTGCGCGCGCGCGTGCTGGTGGGCGGAGCTTGTGGCAGCAGCAGCTTCATTGTCTGGGAGGGTCGAGCATCGCTGCAGCCGGCGGAGAGAGAGACAAAGAGGGGGGAGGCCGACTCTCGCTTTCTTTCTTCGTGTGGGGGAGGAGAGGGGGGAGGATTAAACCGGCTCATCACACACGTCTCATATTAACACACACACACTCACACTCACACACTCACACACACAACACACACGGACGCACAACAACGCGGCGGCAGAGCGAAGCATCATCTGGAGCAGCAGCAGCATCAGCAGCAGCATCAGCAGCAGCATCGGCGGCACCGAGGGCGAGAGACAAAGAGACAAAGAGACAAAGAGACAGAGGAGGACAGCTGCACCGCGACAGGAGCAGGACGGACGGACCGACAGACGGACCGACAGACAGACAGGCCTTCAGCAGCTCCACCGCCCGTCATGGCCGACCACATGTTCCGTGTGTCTGAGTGTGTGCTGCTGCTGCTGTAGGTGGGTGTGTTCGGTCCGTGTGTGTCGCTGTGTGTCGGTGTGTGTCCGTGTGTGTGATGGGGAACGCGGAGAGCATGGAGAGCCAGCTGGCCGTGATCCGGTCCAGAGCCGCCCCGGTCCGACTCCCGATGCCCGACCCGGCCGAGCTGGAGGAGAGGTTCTCCATCGCACTGGTAGGTCCACAGCAGACACACAACACAAAGACACAACATACACATCACAGTGCACACACAACATCTACAACACACATGCTACACACATGTGGACAACACAAAGACACAACATACACATCACAGTGCACACACAACATCTACAACACACATGCTACACACATGTGGGCAACACACACAACACACCACAGACACACAATCTGGACTTATACACACACAGGACACACTCCTGGTCTACTGATGGTCTCCTCTTTAGAAGTTTCCTCCTTTTGCTGCTTTTCAACATTGAATCAGTTTCATTCTGTAATCAGTGAAAACAGCTTCGAGTCACTTCAGTGAACTGAAGACATCAGATGTAAACCAGAGCTTCCATCAGGGTTCTCCTCCTCCAGTCAGCAGATGGACCTTCAGCTCCATCATGGTCCTGTTGGTCTCCATCAGCCTGAACATCTGGACGCTGCAGCTTCACCTCATTGTTCTGATGAAACTGTTCAGACTCTGTCGGGTTCCACAGGGATCACGAACAGAACTTAAGTCCAGACTCTGATTCTCAGCTGGACTGAGGTCTGGACTCTGACTGGGCCTCCAGAACTTCACCTTGTTGTCTTCAAACCATCTCCGTGGAGCTTTGGCTGTTTGCTTCGGCTCATCGTCTGGATGGAAACCAAGTCTTCTCCACGTCTCAGTTCTCCTGCATCAGGTTGTCCTCCAGGATTTCTCTACACTCTGCTGCATTCATTCACCCTCTAACTTCACAAGCCTTCCAGGCTGCTGCTGAGAAGATCCCCACATCATGATGCTGCCACCACCGTGCTTCATCATGACGCTGCTGAACTCCAGTCCAGATTTAATCTGAGCGTTTTCCCATAATGCTTTGATGGTGAAGAACAGACAACAGTTGTTCTATGAACAGTCTCTAACATCTCAGCTGCTGAAGCTGGAAACTCCTTCAGAGGAGTCATAGGAGTCCTGGTGGCCTCCCTCTCTAGTCTCCTTCT